AGCGGTTTGTTGAGACATCGCACCGACCTCCATGATGATGATAAGGTGACGAAGGGGGACTGCCCAAGCAGTTGTCCTTCAGCTGAGCGAGCAGAGGCAGGAACAGGGACACCAGGCGCGCTGGTGCTGAAAGGTATGAGGCGAAGATGGCAGCAAGCATCGCTGGCTCGAGCAGGAGAGCCCGCTGATAGAGGTGACCCCATAGATGCTGAAGCCTCACAACAGCTGACTGAAGAGGAAAAGCCGGTCGCTGCCACCTCCACAGATAGAGGCAAAGGGACCCTTCTGACTGCGGCCACCAAACACAGTGCGGTAAAGTCCAAGGCGGCCAAACCGTTGACAGTGTTGCAATGCATTGCAGAGAACATTGAAAGCATCCCAGAACCTGGCAAAGAAGATGCAAGCCAACAGAGCGTGCTCTGTGGGCACACTGGGTTAGCCAGCCTGGCTGAAACCCCTGTCCCAATGGGTATTAAGGAGGACCCCCACTCGCCGGATGAGTACCCCAGACAAGAGGACACAGACAAGCAAGTCAGTACTGTCGAGATTGCCCTCGGAGACGAAGGAGACCATGCGGGGCTTGCGGAAGCAGACCTTACGGTACAATCGGAACAGAGAGCAATGCAAGAGTTGTACCGTTTTCAAAAACAGTCAATGCCAAGAAGGTCAACAAAGGATAATAAGAGCGCATCAGTACAGACCCAACCGGCTTTCACAACAGCTGCAAATGCAGCACAGGAGGCACAAGCGACACAATCCGCTGAGCTAGGCCACTCACCAGTGGTGCCCCCTGTTGCAGTGTACGCCAATCTACCCAGCGAATGGCCCCTAGCGCGCATCAGTGTCTATACGCGCCACATCGGTGTCCTCCTAAGGGTTACGTTAAATAGAAGACTGGCGGAATTAAGCTTCAGGGGAGTTGCGTTCCCAGACTTGCCCCGAGAGGTGATTAAGCACACCATAGAAGACTTCGACGCCATCTGCGGTGCCATGGCTGCGCAATTGGCTGCCCTTTTTGAGTTTCTCCGACCGTGTGAGGAGAAGACACGTAAGGCAGACCTAGATGAGCTTAGCCCTATATGCTGAACCGACTTACTGGTTGTATGGCCTTCTGTCCTTTTGTGCCAAGAGCTGCGAGGCGAAGACAGCAGAAGCAGGAGGAGCACCAGATTTCAGAACAAGCAAAGAAAGAAAACAAGACAATTCAGCTCCTGCGTTAGAACCCACACGAAACTCACTTGCACTAATGCAAACGGTCGTCATGTCCTTTGCCCGAGGCCTTTACCTAGGCAAACCTGAGCTCCCCATTGACCATGTGCATATTTACTTCCCTGCTCAAATTGTGCACAAGGTCATCGCGCAGTGCAAGGCGCTAAAGCTCAAAGAAAGCGCACTTTCCGCAGCAGAGAGATACAGGCACAATGTGGACAACGCTGCTAACAACCCGTATGTCATCGTGGGGGTCTTCGAAGGAAAATGTTCGCATGAGCAATATCCCCCAATCCCGGCTACCCCAACGCTGGCGATAGCGTATGAAGAAGGGATGCTGGATGCGAGCTTTGGACAGATTGTCTCCTTTGCCTCCTTTTATCAAACAAGCTTTCGTGTGGAGGTTCCGCTGTGGCACAAGCTTGAGGATGGAATCGCTGTCCCACCGCTCGATGATCAAGCAGACTGTCCTGCCAGGGAGTCCCCAACAGAAAGGGAACTAGCTCGAGGTGCAGTGGTAATGGCACCACAAGCCCGGAGGCAAGGACTGAAGGTGCAGAGGAGCCTGCAGATGAGGAAACGGCAGAGGAAGAAAGCTATGTCCCAGCCACTGGGCAAGAATGTTTCTCCTTTGAGATGAGCCTGCTGCAGCGAGCGGCGCAAACCTTTGCAAAACGCTCGGTGGCTGACTATTACCTGCAGGTCGCGAGATGGTTGCTACGGGGCTTGCTACGACCATCTCGAGGAAAAGTTGGCACCTTTTGTCCACCGTACATACACCATCACCTCGCTCGCCTTGCTTCGGGTACATTTCAAATTCGGACACCTCTTCACGGAGAAATCAGACAGGAAAAAGCCCTATGCTGCGACGCACGATCGTAGCCAGACCGTGCGCGACTGGGAATGGCACGTCAACCAAGTCATGCCTGCGGGCTATCTGGCAAGAACCTGTGTCGGCAGCTGCGTGGAAGGCTAATTGGAGTGCATGTAGCGCCTGCATGGCTCTCTGTTCTGCTTCTAACTGTATATCGGTGGCAGCAGTGCTTCCTCTTTCAGGAGCATCCGGCAAGCCACAAGCTTCCGCGTCTAGCGCGTCTAGCAGGCAGTAAGGCAGGACCACAGCAAAGATGTTTCTGTAACTTAGACAAGCACCCAGTTTCTACGGGGGCAGTGCGGGTAGGTCCGGCGGTATCCCAAGATTCTGTCGCTCCTTACTAAGTCAAGAGGTAGGGAGCCATTTTGTTCAACAGCTGATGTCTTGATATCGAACGCACCTACTACTGCTACACAACCTGACTGAGAGAAGAGGACACCCCGAAGTGGCAAAAGCACCACAGAAGGAGGTAAAAGCAGTTCATTGTAGCCCCAGGTGGTATCCCAAGATGCTGTCGGAAGTCTAGCAAAGGTGTCGACCGTAGGGAGCTACTGTTAACTGTTCGCCTGAGTGCTACCTAAACCCATTTGGCAGGAAAGGGCACTGCGTGAGCACTCTGCCTGCACGTCGGCTCATAGCCAAACCTTGCAAGGTCTGCAAAAGAAGACTGCCAACGGCGGAATCGGTCCCCACATGGCAGAGGGCGCAAACAGAACCGTGAGTCAAATTCAGCAGGCTGACTGGGAAGAAGACAGGTTCCTTCGACTGAATCTTACCACTCTAGCGGGCACGGTGATACAGCTCCATGTCCCTGTTAGCGTCTACCACACTTGGGACACGCTAGAGGAATACCTGGTCGAGCACCTGCCATGCGTCAGTCCCATCGAGACGTTTGGGTGCGAACTTGCTCAATGCGGATACGCAGGTAGCGCTTCAAGATCCTGTGCAGGAAGAATTCTGGAATACCAATCATTGTGGGGAGTTAGCCAGACGTCTTGCGTCACTATTTGCTTTCCTCAAACCAGACCCAAGTGCTGGCACACAAGCGGACACACTGGGACTGGCGCTCTATGCTGACCCGGCCTATTGGCTATATGGGCTCTTATCCCACTGTGCCAAGGCCTGCGAGTCCAAAATTGAAGAAGCCAATGGGGCCCCTGTATGGAAAGCAAAAGAGGAGGGAGGCACGCCTGACATTGAAGCCACCGGCAAAACCTTAGCGCTTATGCAAACTTTTTTTTCCACGAGTGCGGACGCCATGTGGGCGGAGTGCCCAGGTCATCATTGAAGGGGAAGGAAACACAACATGATGAGGGGAAAAGAACACAAGCAACCCCAAAACAACCAAAAACCCCCCAAACAAAAACCACAACAAAAAGCCAAACACCACCAAAAGCCAGAGGCCATTTCCCCTCATCTAAAAGTGTTTCCTCTGTACCAGGGTGAGACATGCGCAAAAGACTGGTAACTAACTAGGGGCCTGAGTTCAAAGAAAGTCGGACGGCATGGTCGGCGCAAGTGCGGAGTGCAGCGAAGCATATCAAAGGGGCCTCGCCCCACCCACCAAGCTGTGACCAAGAGGGCCACTGCATCGAATGGCAAAGGACGATGATCAGGTGCTTAGCAAGACCTGCATTGTTTATTGTCAGCCAGTCTGATCCTTGCCCAGGGGAGTCAGTTGCTGCTCTGCCTATCAAGCCATGGAAAAGGCTCATCTTGTTGCACAACCCTTTCAACTGATTGCACGACCGAGACGAGAGGCATGTCGATTGTCAGGCAGCGGAGGCAGAGACAACGAGAGGGGTTTGCTGACGATGGTGATGCCGTCCCCCCCGAAGGGAGGTCACCTTTGCACCCCTTAGCATACAAGGAGTGCCATTGCGATACTCTCTGTTTCAAAAAGAGAGAGCGGCACTGAGTTGCAAAAAGTCTCCTGTTGCATGCAAGGCCCGGGTGAAACCAGTGAAACATGGACCTATCCTAGCATGGTACTTGTGCCTCTTTGTACAGCAATGGGCATGGCGTGATCGCTGCAAGGAGAACTAAGGTTCCCCCTGGCAACCTTCCATTACCATTCTCTACCACCCGCCTCTTAGGAGCGAAAGCTAAGGCTCTCATTCCTATAGGCTCACTGTAACGTCGTTACTGGGGCCGAAAGGATGGCTTAGCCCGAGCTTTCTTGAACCCGGCTCACAAAATTGAGACCGCAGAATAGCAGTCCCTTCCCACTGCCATTTGCTTTGCCAGCTTAGCATGTGGCTGCTTGGAAGTCCTCTCTCCATTGGTCATTGGCATTTGGCGGCAGGAATCGGAGCCATTGGGGCTTGTCCAATTGCTCGCATTTGTCAAAGGCATTGAGCCTGGCATATGTACCTCGCCATGTTTTGCTTTTCCCTCGTTTACGGACTGCTCGAAGCTGCGTACAGCCTGCAAAAGCACGCGTGAAGTGGATGGTTGTGCGCAGCGCATAGACATAGTTCCTGCAAGAACATGTGCGAAAGCTGCCCATCCCAGTCCGTGCAAACTCTGTGTAATGGCAAAAACAAAAGAGCGGTGCAAAAGTTGACCGACGGTCGTCGTGAGCAAATGGCTCCCGGGAGCCCGGGCTCACCACGACACTCGTGTCCAGCCGCTTCCAAAGCGACTGGAGGCCGCGCCGGCCGGTGCATGACTGTAACACAAAGAAAAAATGTGGTGAAAAATGCAAGGTTGCAACAAAATCGGCGGATTCTTTTGTAGGCAAAAAGAAAAGGTCTCGAAGCTGCTCTGTGGTGGTCAGCTACGAAAGGCAAAAGGGGCAGGTACTATGGCAAAATGCCAACACGTGTTAGTACCGTGGAAAAACTTAGCAACTCTGCGACGCCTGGTGGCGAGTGCAGAGCAGCCATGCAAAACACACAAGGGACTACCAAAGCTCTCACTTCTTCGTGAGTTGCTTCCACAATTTCTGTTCCAGTTGCGATTGGCCTTCGCGGCTCGGTTCGAACTTCAAGTGGTTGGATTTGGCTTGCAATAAGGTACGGATGGCATTGCGAGTCTCATCGGACACGGCTGCGGTCAGCATCAGGCTAAACTTCCAGGTCCTCCCCTGCAGGGGCGAGCTGAATTTCGAAGAGCATGAAGCGATCTCTCGGTCGATTGTGTCTGGAGACAACTCAAGGAGATAGTCAGCAGCAGCGGTCTGTTCGGGTGACCAGTTGTCACTTTTCTCTTGGAAGGTGCGCACGAGCAAGATAAAGTTGAAGAACTTCTTGTGGCCCCACGGGTGTGGGGCCAAGGCTTCGCCTTTGGCACGGGCAGCCAGGCGGGCTGCCGGGATGTCCCCGTTGCGCTGTTCCTCTTGCTTGGCCTTATAAGCATTCATAGAGGCCGCGATGGTGTTCCTACTTTCATCCGTTGTGAGAAGGAAACGCAAAGCACTGCTATGGAGCAAAGCTTGCGCATCTTGGCTGCGATATAACGTCAATCTCAGGAGGTCTTGCACTAAGCCGTCGGGGACTGAGCCTGGTGCTCCCACAGGCATTGCTCCAGTTTCCAATCGGCGGCGTTGACCGGGAGGTTCGGAGCTGCTGTTTTGAGTGTTGGCAGCGAGTTCTTGCAAGAAAGCAGGCGGCATGCGGTAATCGGCAAAGGCGGTGGCACAAATGCAAACTAAGAGATCCCTTGAAAGAAAACTTAGCAAGTGCGGTGAAGCAGGCATGCGGCAGGGTCAGGCAAAACTACCCTGCAAGGTCTCATGACTGCTAGTCTATTCCAAGTCCTCGGCTTTGCGTCGTTGCAGGCAAACGACTGAGTGCCGTCCCTTAGCATGCGCTGTCCAGAAATGAATTTGACAGTGGGGGCATGGGCGGTCTGTTACGGAGACATGTTCTTGTACTTTGCGAACGCGTGAGATCCACAGGGAATAAGGCATGGCTTTACAAGAACAAGAATGCTTATTACGCTTATGCTTATCGGCAAATTCTGTTAAACAAAAGTGGCATTGCTTGGGCGGCCACCCCGCAGGGGGTGGTGGAAGAGGTAAGTCCTGAGTACACGTTTGCCTTTGCGGGTTTCGATTGGATGGTGGAGGTTGTTTGCCATGTAAGCATCTTTTCAAACGGTTTGGACGAGTTTTGCATTTGGGGGCTGCCTTGGGATCAGCTGCGGCCAGAGGTGGGTTTGCTCGCTGCGGCGGATGTTGCGGTCCCTGCAACTCTTGAGATAATGCCTTTCTGGCCGCCCGTTGATCTCGTCTGTCCTGCAAAAGTCGTCGTTGGTCCGGCGGCAAATTTTGGCACGGCAATATGTGCTTTTTCAAGGATCGCAACAACATTTCAACACCACAATGCGGGCATTTATAAAGACCGTTTTGGCCAGGAACTGCCCCGTAAGCTGCACGCGCTCTCTCCTGGGCCTTAGCGAGACGTTGCTCCCTGGGACCACCAGGGGCATGACGAAGAGCCCAAGTGTCCTGGACATCGGCGTCCATTTGACGTGTCAACCAGACCTTGCTCAACTGGCGCCAGGTAAGTCCATCTGCTTCTGCAGCAAGGTTTGTCCAGGTGCGAGGCCAAGTTGTCTTGTCCACTTGAGCAAGGGTTCGAAGGTCCTCGAGCAGAGCCCAGTACTGATGACGGAGACTGTGTCCACGTTTTGAGGCGGGTCTTGTGTGGTCAGGGATGAGAAACGAAAAAAGGACCTTGCGCTCCAGGCTGGCAGGTGGCTTACGCGCTAAATGTCCTAAAAAGGCTAACTTTCTTTTGCCGATCATAGTCTTAATTGTGGGAAGGTTGAGCCTGCGGCGGAGATCACTTAAGGTGACTTGCTGGGTTTGCATGTCCCGACGGCGTTGCCTGGTAAGTCCGAAAGTGACACGATTGGCAAAGGTCTGAAATTGTTTCAAATCAGCGCGGCTGTATGGTCTCGATTCGCAGCCGTACAGCAGAGAAGCGAACACTGTGGCTTGTACAAGTTGCGATTGAACGGTTAGTGAAATTCCTAAACGAGGCAGTTGGGCATAGATTTTTCGCCAAATCTGAGATGCTTTTGCGAGTCGATGTTTTGTGTCATGGGAAACCCCGCCGTGGTGGTTGAAGTGGATCCCCAAAAACTTGAGGGACTCAGAGAAACCTTCGGGAGCTGTGCCATTGAGGAGGAGACGTTCGGTTTTGTCGGGGTGAAGTGTTTCCCCCCATTGGCGCAGGACCCGGGTGGCGAGTTCTTCGATAGCAGCAGATTGGCTGCGGCGGGTCAGAGCGGTGGTGTCATCTGCAAACAACAGAATGAACAGGCGGTAGATCTCAGCGACTCCTTGGTCGGTTTGTTTAGTGGTAAGTTTGCGGACCCGTTTGTTGAGAGGCCGCTTTGGAAAGTATCCCAAGGTCAAGCCAGCGGGCGGGTGGAGGGCGCGGGCCTCTGAGACCAATTGGTTAATGGGAACAGTGTGGTACATATTATACAACGTCGGGCTGCTAGGGCAGCCTTCCCGAAAACCCTTTTGGGACTGGAACGGTTCGGCGTCCCCTTGTTGCGTGCGAATGATGAATTGAGTGTGACTATGTAAGCTACGAATGATGGTGATTAGCTCTTGCGGGAGGCCAAAAGCTTTATGAAAGACCTGATAGGCAGCTTCGCGAGGTACACTGGGATATGCACGCTGGATATCGAAACTTATGACGGCAACCGGGTCAGGGGGGTCCTTAACTTCTGTGGCTAATTCGCTGAGGATACGAAGGATGACTAATACATCGGAGGTGGATCTGTTGGGGCGAAAACCCCACTGGAATTCGGGCAACAACTTTAAGTCTTCGCAGCGCTTACGCAGTCTGGTGGCCACTATCTTGGCAAGCAGGCGGGATGCAATGGAGAGAAGGACTATCATGCGATATGTCGAAACATCCGTGCGTTGCCCTTTCCGTTTCCACAATAGGATGCCGAGCGCTGTGTGCAAGGAGGAATGCCAGTGTTCTGCTGGAGTGGTCCACAAGGTTTGCATCAATGTGCTTAAGATGCGTATGCCTAATTCTCCACTTAATCTTAACATGAGGGTGGTGATCTGGTCGGCCCCAGGGGCGCATTCTCGGAGCTGACTCAAGGCTTCCTCCGTCTCTTGTCGGCTAGGCGGGCGGCCGAGCCAATCGGCCGTGGCGACAGTTGGCAAATTGGAGATCAAATCTTGTTCGACCGGTAGCGGGTTCGACATGGTTTGCTGAAAGTGGTCCTTGGCGGCGTCTAAGGTGAAAAGTTCTCTACCGGCCTGTGACTTACCTTGAACATGCACACCAAGCTTGGGTAGGAGGTTGTAAAACCGACCCATGTCATGAATACGAAGTGCGTCCTCGAGTTCTTGAATAATGTTTGCAACCCAACGATTTCGGCATTCTTGCTTGAAGGTTCTTACGGCAGCTTTAGCTGCTTGTAAGGCGTTGCGCAGGGCGGGTTCGTCAGCAGCGCCCCGAGCAGTGTGGACTTTAGTCCAGCACAGTTGTTGGTGTTGCATGAGTTCTTGAATCTGGTCTAAATCGGAAGGACTATAGAAGGAAGGTTGTGTGCGGCGAGGGGTGGTGCCTAAGACTTCGACTGCGGTGTCCCGTAACAAGGCAGCGAACCGGTCCCAGGACATCGGGCATGCGGGATCGGCTGGTGCGGTGTCGGTGGTCGCAGCAGGGGGTGGGTCCCACTTGCTGCGAGTTCTGCGAAAACAGGGCCAAAGTTGTTGTGCTCCGGTGGCCCCTTGTTTCGCAAGGCGATCCGCTCGTTCATTACCGGCGTCGCCGGTGTGGCCGAAAACATGCTCCCAGATTATGGTGCGATAGGCAGTGACGGTTAGGACTAATTGCCGAACTGTGTGGATGAGTTGGGTGTTGGAGGTGGGGTGCCATTGGCCTGTGGCCATTTTATAGGCATAGACACTATCGTATTTGATTTTGACGGGTGTGGAATCGTCTCGGGAGAGTAGGAGAAACCGCATGGCATGGCCTTTGGCACTAAGTTCGGCAGAATTATTGGAAGCTACAGTGGCACCTAGGTAGTTGGGACTATGCTTAGTGAACACTACTGGGCCAAAGAAGTCCTCCCAACTGCGGTGATCGGTGGTGACTGTAAAACCCCACCCAGCAGCGCGGCGAGGCCCGCGGTGCTGGGCATGACTGTTACTGGATCCGTCTGTGTAAATGGTGGAACTGCAAGGGACGGTGGTTTGGGACCCCATGCTAGGAGTGGGTAGCGACCACTGGTTGTTCTGAAATTCGGTGACTAGCTTGTTATGCACAGTGCGTTGAAACAAGCCGCGGTTGTACTGAGCCGCAGGCGTAGGTCCCCGTAGCAATTCAAACCGGATTCTGCTTTCGGCAGGAGCCTGAGTCGCAGCAATGCGCTGGGCCTTGGCGGCGCGCTGGGCGTTCTTGGAAGCAGGATTGGGTAAGTGAAACAAAATCTGCTTGGCACAGTGGTCACTGAAGCCCAAGCAGAGGGTTCGAACCGTTTGAGTCTGTTTAAGGATACCATGCGAACAGCAAAAGTAGTCGAGTTCATACCACTGCTTGGTCCTAGGGTGCAACCAGGTGCCTCGATGACCTATGCGGTAGTATTGGTCAGCACACGACAAAGTAGTGGTGGCTAGCCATTGGCGCTGTTCAATGCCTGAAGGGGCAGTTGCAGTCTTAAGAGCCCGAATAGGCCGGGGATCTGAGAGGTTATGATCGCGACCTACGTGTCCATTCCAGTCGCCCCCCCAGAGCTGTAACGTGGAAGGATTGTCCGTGGTCAGGTTGTGATGATGCAACTTGGCTTGAGTGTATGTTTGTGCGCGGAACGCGCGTTGCTCGGCTGAGTGACCTGAAGGTACGTAAATGCAAGTAAACGCATAATATGGCGCCTGATGTAAATCTAACAACAAACTGAGGTAATGAGAGTGATCAGAGCGCCAGCGGGCTCCTTGTTCCAGCCAGAGTTTGCGGGTGTGAAAGGGGAGAAGAAAACCAACACGGCCCCTCTGCAAGAAGAGAAATTCTTCCATATAAACCATCTGAAGTTGATCAAGCTCGGTCGGGTCGGACTTAAGTTCCGTCATCTGAACCAGGTCCCACTTGTATTTTCGACAGCTCAAGAGAAGATGTTGAAGCTTGTGTCGGTGGTCAAGAGATGACCAGCTGAGTCCCTGTGTGTTGAGTGTACATGCACGAAAACTATCCGCCAAAGTGCGCAACCGAGAACTTCTGTACATGCGTCGGTCACGGTGTGCCTTGCGTCCATGTCGGGAGTCGTCCGGTTGGTATGTCTGTACAAAAGGCTGTCGACATGGAGAAAACTTCTGCTGTGCAGGACTGCTCTCAGGGTACCTATTTGCCTCGACAGGACGAAGAGGCGGCTGTTGGGTCCCCCCAAGAAAGACACCAATCAGCCGGTGAGACTGTGATTGCATATTAGCCGGATGGCCCATAACCTCAGTATTGACCTTGGTTCGCGCATCCGTTTCTCTCAGTGCCTGTAAGAGGCTTGCAATCTAACTGAGGCAAAAGCACGCCGAGCAATGTAGAGCAGGGATGGTGGGATGCAAACTTCTTGCACTTAAGAAAGGCTTCTTGCTCTATGATGCGTAAGTTTCGGGAAAGGCTGAGTTGCTGTAGCTGTGAGCAGTGTGCAAAGGTTGAACCCAAAATTTCAATGACATCCGTTTGGGACAAATTCACAATTCGCAGCTGCTGGCAGCTCACGCACGCAGCCGTTCCTATCCTGTTAAAATTTGACGGCAGACAGAGTGCGACTATACCTGCTTCCAAGAAGCAGCAGTCAGGCAGACTCCGGTTCAGGTTAGTGGAGCCTTGCCCTGCCTTACCGAGGTCGAGGTGCTGGAGGGCCGTGCATCCTTGAAACACACGGGGCCGCAGTTGTGCGTGGGGGGCGAGTATATTGTCAGGGCACTGTGTCACTCCTATTTGTGTTAGGGAGCAACACTCCTCGAAGACCTTAGGGCCGAAATGTTGGCAGCCAGGGGCAATTACTACGCGCAAGGCTCGGCAGCATCTGAAAGCACCATGCAGCAAGCTGACTACTGTGTCTGGTAGGTGAACCACTTGTAGCTGCCGACAGCTCCTCCACGCTGCTTCTCCTACAATCCTCATACCGGGTTCAACTAGGACAGTCGGACTTCCGTATGAAAGGAGAAGGCTTGCGGTGGGATTTTGTCGTTCTTACCTCGCGGCACTCTGATTGCCTTGGCTTCTCCTTTGATCTGCCCTTTATGCGCTGCCTCTACTAAACACGGCCGAGCAATCACATAGTAGCAGTGGTTGGCTCTGAGTTTCCTCTGTATGGGATCTGCTAGGACTTGGTGGGTGTCGAGTTGCACAAATTGCAATTCACACCCCAGAGTGCTACTACATCCTAAATAGGGGAGCTCTGCTAGTACGGCATTTTCAAAGCTCCGAATGCCGGTATGTGCATTCAGGTCTACCTCAATGGATAGCTTCACTCCTGCCAGCGTGAGGAAGGTGCAGGTCTGCGCCACCATCCCTTCTGCACAGCAGTGAGGACTGAGCCTAGGCGTAGCTGCTGGCGCATCACTAGCTTGAGGACTCTAGCTTGAGCCATTAGAGCTGCAGTGTATGTGTGTGTAGCTTCGTCACGCCCTAGTACAGAGCGTTAGTGGCCATCCACTCCCTTGGCTTAGAGACTGCATGCACGAATGGCTAGCGCCGTGCCCAAGGGCACAACTTGGTCTGGCCGGACTCGAGCTAAGGCTCGCGCCCATCCTAGATAGATTGTGGGAGAAACACAGGCTGTTACATTTAGACAGGGGCAGTTTAGGCTAAACCAGAGACATACCCTGTGTCCGGAATCATGTGTAGCCATGGTGGCCATCGCATGTCTGGGCAAATGGCAAAGGCGTTTTCTTCAGCATAAACCCCTCGCCATTTATGCCGGCCAGGCAACTTGACTAGCCTTTTGAAGGCAGTGCAATCCAAGAAAGCTCTGCTCGCTATGTACTTAAGTGAGGGTGGTATAGCAAGTTCTGGCAGGGCTGCACAATTCATAAAAGCCTTAACTCGAATCGTATGGAGTGTCTTCGGGAGACGAACTTCTTTGAGGCTCGTACAGTGCACAAAGGTAAATTCTTGTATTTCCTCGATTTGTGTGTTCGAAAGGTCAACATTCTTGAGCAGATGGCAGTTGTCACAGGCGTGTGCTCCGATGACTTTAAAACTCTGCGGTAGCGTCAGTGTAGCTATCCCTGTTGAGCTGAGGCAACCTAGAGCCAATTCCCTGGCAGCGGGTTGCAACAGCATCTCGCTCGGGGAGGGACTCTCGTGCAGGGTAAGTTCGGCAAGGTTGATACAGCCTCTGAAGAGGTAATGCCCAAACTTGGTGCAGCTGCTAAACTGATTGGCGAGTTCTTCAGTGGTATGGACCCACTGCAGTGAGCAGCACTCATCAAAGGCTTTGTAGCCAAACTCTCGGCAGCCAGGAGCAGTGACACTATTAAGCAGTTTACAGCTTCGAAATGCGTTGTCAGAGATGCTAACAACGGTGGGCGGCAGCTTAACAATTCGGAGCTGACGGCATGAGTGCCACGCTTCCGGGCCAATAAGGCGAATACCTGACTCTACGCTAACATGACGTAGGCGTGGCACTCCTGCGAAAGCCCCTTCTGGGACAGCGCTTTCTGGGTTCATGGGGACATGGACAGCAAGCGGAACTTTGTCAATGGGATATCCTTCTAGAGGTTCCTGTGAGGGCAGGTATTCACTGCAATCCTTGAAAATGATGCAGTATTCCATACTCTGTTGCAGTCTGTCCCAAATCGGGTCCTCCAAGTAGGTCTGTGTGGCCAAGTGCAAAAATTCGATCGAGCGCCCAAACACTTTGAGGTCAATCACAGAAAGGAGGTAATCCATAACATGATCCTCCAAGTCCGCAAAACGGTCGAATTTGGCAATGCTGAGAGAGACATTAAGCGTCACTCCCGACAGAGTAGTTAGCACTAAGCAACACTCCATCACCGGCTCTCTCTCCGGGGGGGCGCTGGCTCCAGAAGATTCGGCAGGCTCCACGGAGGGTGTCATGGCGGCAGAATTTGAACCACTGTCTGCCAACTGTGTGTGAATAGGTTGATTTTACTTTACTGTGCTGCTGCTTTGAGATTGGTCCTAACTCTCTGAGCCAGAGGGCAGCACAATGGACAAATGCCTACCAGGACTCGTGCTAAGGCACCCGCCTTGGTTACTTAATGTAATACCTAACAGTCAAGGAAATTCCGTATAAAGCTCCTCATCAAATGCGTCCGAATCCGGTCCTTCGGTGGGTAGCAGCTCCACCCATGACGGCGGTTCAAAATTATCACATAGCAAAAAAGCGTTGTGTTCTGCTTGTACGTGTTGGTCATTCTCCCCCAGGTCAAGGAGAGTAAAAACTCTTAACTGCTCGCACCCACAAAAGGCGCGGATGCCAATTTCCTGGAGCTCGGTCGGAATGACCACCTCCTGGAGCGCTATGCAGCTGAGGAAAGCTTCCTTACCAATTTGCGTTAAGCGTGGCGGCAGCCAAATATTAGTCATGGCCACGCAGTGAGCGAAGGTAGATGTGAGAAGGGCTGTGATATCTGTGCTCGTAAGATTGACCTCT